CGCGACTACCACTAGATCGCTATGTATAAACCAGACAGAGAATGATTACCAAGATGTTCGCCCCTCTACTTGGCCGAATAATAGAGGCGTACATCGACGATATGGTGGTCAAAAGCAAATGTGAGGCCAATCACTTGACTGACCTAGTTGAGATGTTCGCGATCCTTAAGCAGCACAAGTTGCGCCTCAATGCGTCTAAGTGCTCCTTCGACATGGGGTCTGAAAAGTTCTTGGGCTTCTTGGTGACTAACCGAGGAATTAAGACGGATACCTTCCAAATCAAGGCCATACAAGAGATCAAATGGCCAAACTCGGCAAAAAAAAACATACAATATCTTATCAGAATGTCAGCCGCACTTAATAGATTCATAAGTCGATCATCATGTTGTTACTGCCCTTTCTTTCAAGCCCTCATGTCGAAGTTTTTGTGGGATAAGGAATGCGACTGAGCATTTGCAGAGCTGAAGATGTACTTGTTATCCGCTCCACTCATCGTCACGCCGAAGCCAAGTAAAGAACTCTACCTTCATTTGGCAGTCTCCCATCACGCCATCAGTGCAATGCTAGTCAGGGCCAAAGGCATACAGCACCTCCTAATCTTCTATGTGACCAAAACCTTACTTTCAGCAGAGTTAAGATACTTGCCGCTGGAAAAACTTGCTCTGACACTAATGATGGCCACCAGGAAGTTGGCGCATTATTTCATGCCTATACAATCGTCGTGCTAATGGAATTTCCATTGAAGGCCTTGTTTGTGAGGGCAAACTTCTCCTGTCAGATCTTGAAGTGGGCAATCGAATTGGGGCAATTCGACATCAAGTTCCAGTCCAGAACCGCTATCAAAGCCTAAGTGTTGGCCAACTTTGTTATAGAGTTCTCGCCAGGGACTCGCCCGGTTTACCCAGTGGATCTTACAGATGCAATCGAACAAAGGGGAGTGGGCATTGTGGAAATTGCACAGCCTACACCCTCTCTAACTAATCCCAACCTATCAGCCGAGCAAAGCGGGGAAGGTGTTGCGAAAGTTGCGCGCCAGACCGTCAACTTACCAATTGAAGAGCAACCAAGACCTAGAGATGCACTGGTGAGTTTGGAAATAAGAGGACAACTTGTTGGACCCAACAACACATCGCTAGGGAGGGGAAGAGATCATGTAGGTTGCAGTCAACAATAGCGCGCTTGAAGCAGAAATAGTTGGGGAACTAAACAAAGACATGGCCCTGCAGATAGTTAAGCCGAGCAATAAAGTCGGAGAACTCTTGGCTCTTCAAAAATCTCAAGATCCTTCAGAATGTTAGAAGTTGTTCGTTGGAGAAATGTGAAAACTTTTCATCGTTGACACTTCAAACAGGCATGGTGCCAGATTGGGCGTAGTTTTGATCTCACTAGATGGTCTGACCATAGAACATTCAATTACACTTGGGTTCCCAACATCAAACAACGAGGCTGAGTACGAGGCGTTGTTGGCCAGACTAAAAAGTGCACTTCGACTAAAAGCATCTGAGCTAATGGTTTATAGCGACTCCCAGTTCGTTGTCCACCAAGTATCTGGAGAATACGAGACCAATGACGACAAAATGGCCAAATACCATACCCTAGTAAGAGAGGAGCTCAACAACGATGTGCTAATGTGGGTAGATTATAATATGTACCATATTATATATGAGTGACCCTACTTAGGAGCTAAACATGACAAGAATTTGGGCCACTGCCATGACCATACACAAGAAATAATTGAAGTGGATCCCATTGAGTTCTCTAAACTTGACAAGAATAAGTCTTGCTTTATTAGTCATCTTTGATGGCCTTCTCTTCCTTATTTCTAATTTGCCTAATAATAAATTGATTTATTTATTTTCATGCTAATCATGTTTCTATTATATGTATTAAATTATCTATTTATTTATTTTTGTGGCTTTTGAGATTTATATAAATCAGTTTTCATATTATAAGAAGTCTAGTACCTGAGGGAATGAAATGTCTCCATTCAACCCCCTTTGCAAAGAGAATCAAATATTATAAAAAGCAAAGATTGTGACAAGATTTTGCGATAACTTGTGATTTTAGGTGGGATTATAGGATCTCTCTATCTTTCTCTTTTTATGGAAGGCGGAGTGTTGGGCTAATTAGTGTTTGGTTTCAGTTTTTTGAATTTAATTTTTTAAAAATTGAGTTTTTATTTTTCATATTTTTTGTTTTTAGTGAATATTTTTTAAAATTTTAAGTAGTTTTTTTTACTTTTTTAGATGAACCTTACTTAGATGTATCTAAATAATAAAATATTTATGAAAAAATATTTTAAAAAAATAATAAATACACAAAAATATGATTTCTTAAAGATTTTTTCCACAAATATTATACTTTTTAAGTGTATTTATGTTAGGTGTGTCTAAAAATTAAAAAAAATTACTTAAAATATTTTAAAAAAATCATTGAAAATATTAAAATATAAAAAATAAAAAAGTAAAATTTTCTGAAAATCAAAACCAAAAATATTAAAATATAAAAAATAAAAAAGTAGAATTTTTTGAAAATCAAAACCAAGCAAAGTGAATAGTTTCTTATCCTCACGTATAAATAGATGAAGTTATACATTTTGTTCAACAAGGCCAAGGAAGTGTAGGAAAAAAAAGAGAAGAAGATACGTTTATAGAAAATGATGATTTTTGACATAAACTTGTGAAAAATTAACAAAAAATATATGACTAGATTTATATCAATAATTATTTAATACTTATTATTATATACAATTTTGAACTATATATTTAAGATCTTATTGCAAAATTTGTTAGATTGGCATTTTAAGCCATTTTATTGGTTAATAATTTGTATAATTAAAAAAATCAACTTACATAATTATCAAATTGATGTGATTGATAACTTTATATAATATATGAAATAGTTGGAGATTATCATAAAGATTATAAGAATAAATAAAGGGTCAATAAAATAATTTTTAAAATTTAGAGGACCTTTCTATATACTTAATAGAAATTCTCAGAAGTTATAATAATAAAATTTTATAATACTTAGGGGCTAGCCAACATCATCCTGCCCTCCCTTTGTTCCTTACATATATTCAGCCCAAAAAAAATGTTGGGGTGATCACAGGGAGAAGTAAAGTCTATGTTATGGAAATAGTATAATAATTTCCTTCAAACAACTATAACGGAATTCAAAAATTACATTAAAAAAAAATAACGAATTACACTAACGATCCTTATAATTTGAGTATTTTATCACTTTAATTTTTAACTTTTTAATTGTGACACATTTGATCCGGAATTTTAAATCTTGATTTAAATAAAGACAATTGAAGATACCATTACTCAATTTCGAGGGCACAGTCGTCAATTTGATAAAATATAAATTAATTTGATAAAACTAAATGGCAAAAAAATATTTTTGAATTTTTAAAAATTATTTCTACCCACTAATGATAAAATTATGTGATATTGATAAATTTTTTAGACATTTATTTATTTTTACCAAATTAATTTTTATTATGTGTTTGCATGATAATCATATAATAGGTGGTTGTTTTTATTTTTATTAAATTAGTTTATAATTTTTCAAAAGTCAAATATGACGACAACTTTGATATCATTATTAAACCAATCTATTAAATCAAAAAATTCAAAACGAAAAATATTTCATATATTAAATATATCAATTACACATTAAAGCCTAACAATCACTCATTACATGATCATCATCCAAACACATAATAAAAATTAATTTAGTAAAATAAATAAATAAATAATTGTCTAAAATATTTATCAATTTTATATAATTTTATTTTTGTGGGTAGAAATTATTTTTAAAAATTTAAAAATATTTTTTTGACATTTATTTTTATCAAATTAGTTTATATTTTATCAAATTGATGACTTTGCCATTGAAATCGAGCAATAGTATTTTCAATTGTCCTTATTTGAAACAAGATTCAAAATTCATAATTAAATGTGTCACAATAGTGACACGAGTCCCAAATTATAGAAATTGTTAGTATAATTCGCCCTAAATTTTTTTTTTTTGAAAAATAGATTTTAAACAGTTTATACAAAAGAAGAAGGTTTATGAGAGGCACTTAAAAGACGATATTCTAAAAGTGTCATATGTTCTCTCCATACATATTGTGACCACCGCAAATGACTCCAAAATGCAATTCAAAACTTATAACAATCTAATACGATATACAATTGCACTTGATAGATTTGTCAAGCTCGTATCCGTTGCTCAAAATACAATTTAGAAAATATTGCAAAAAAACAATATAGAGATCAAAATAAATTATAAAAGATTTGTATGTAGCCTTGGTTTTGGAAGAAAAAAGTCACACTACAAAAAAATTGACTTTTTGCGACGGTAAAATACCGTTGCTAATACTCCTAATGCCGTCGCTAATACTTTTTGCGACGGCAAAACGACTTTTTGCGACGGCAAGAGGGGGGTCGCAACTGCAGGGTTGCAAAAGAGTTTTTGCGACGGTAAGTGCCGTCGCTAATGTTTTGCGACGGCATTTTTGCCTTTTTGCGACGGCACCGTGCAGTCGCTAAAAACGTTTGAAATTTCTTCACTTTTTTGCGACGGCTCTATTTTACCGTCGCTAAAAATGTTATTTGAGACGGCAAAAAATACCGTCGCCAATAGTTTTTTTTTTTAAAAAAAAACACTACTTTTTGCGACGGTGTGGTGCCGTCGCAGAAAATATAAAAAATATGAAATTTTCTATTTTTTGCGACAGTGTAATGCCGTCGCAAAAAATATTAAAAAATAATAAAATTTCTATTTGAAATAATAAAATTTCTGTTTTTTGCGACAGTATAATGTCGTCGCAAAAAGTAAAACCTGTAACAAAATTAATAAAAATATTAAAATTTTCTATTTTTTCCGACGGTCTCTCTCTAAGAGCTGATTATTTACATTCTATTCACAAAAACATCATAACAGAAAATAAAAATAAAAATTTAAATTGATCAAACCATCAAATTCAATATTTTACAAACACTACTAAAAAAAGTATTTTACAATCACTCAACTTTCGGAGCCAAACTCAGATATATAATCTTTAAAATTGCATCAGACAAATAGTTTCACTCAAATAAATAAATAGCTAGAGAAAAAAAATGAGCAAATGAAGAATCCACCTAAATCATAAATCGACATGGCTATAATTTTTCACCAACTTGTGAAGAATTCTAGATATACAAATCCAAAAGGTCTCTGGAATTTTTCGGCTAAAATGTATCAATAAGGCTGAAATGATGTCAAATGTAAATTTGTGAGCCTCGGGTTTCACTGTCATGCGGATTAGCATAGCAGTCCACACCTCCGGGGCCAACTTCACTGCATGCCGGAAAGATTTAAGCCCATTAACCACTCTCATCAGCATTGCATGTCCCTGCAAAACAACATTAATTCTCATAGTTGATCTCATGACAATATTACCAACTGAAATATGTTCAGTTCTGATTTTGTTTTTGTTTTTTCATTTTCATGTTTTCAAAAACAAGATAATAAAAAGTTCGAAAACACCTAACATTTTCATATAACACTTTAATTTTTGCATGAAAATAGTTTTTCGAAAACAACCTTTTTGGGTTTCCTAATTCATGTTTTGGCTTTCCTACTTCTAAACCACATCAAATGATGTTCTATTATCTATAAGTTGTAGAGTTTAACTAAAACATGCACCAGCACATGAGGGGGGAGAGAGAGAGAGATGGAGGAATTGAAACGAACCTCAGATTCAGCTGTCTCTCTAGCTTGAACCTTCTCATCGAAAATGTTTGCAACTACTTCATCCTGAAGAAAAATATCAATTGCTTTAATTATGTCCCGGACCAGGAAAACACGTACCCTCAAACCCTTATCAGACAATATGAATTTAAAAAGATCTTCGGTGGCAGACACAACAGCACGCATATCAAAGGATTTCCATTCCAATGATCTATATAATATCTATAAACAAAAAAGTCATTTCCGGACACATCAAAAAAGTATGCAGATGACAAAAATAATTCAACAGTTTGAAACACTCCCATTTCTTAAAAGCAAACTGAGAGAAAGGCTCCTAGCTATATATTGAATATCACTTCCATTAAGAAATAACACCTGGATCACTGATCACACCCAAGAAATCATCCTTTATGGTGCCAATACAAAACTGCAAAAGGAGACAACACGTAGGATGAACAACGGTGACCAAAAAAAAACATAACCCCGAAAATGTAATAATAAATAAAATAAAATACAATGTATATTAAGAGCATACATATTTATGTGAACAATTATTAAATGCACTATTTAAGATTTAAAAGAATACTCTGAAGTTCTAAGAAACAGAATGCAACAGTGACCAAATTTGGTTACCAAATGTATCAATAATGGATTGCTATAACGTACAAGACATGAAAGTTATGACCCATTAAACTAATGCATTGGTGGCATATCAAATGATATCCAAAATTTGGTATCTAAATCTAGTCACTGTATCATTACTGTCCAAGAAATGGTTCCAAGGTCGGACCATGCCACATTCTAACTCTTGAACATGAAGAGAGTTCATTTTCCCAGCCCATAAACTCCAGAGAGAACCTGACTTCTTGAAGGTCAACAAGCACACAGAAAAGGATCCCCATATATGCCTCAAGTCTTTAGAAATGGATAATTCAAGGTATTGGCCTAAACAACCCAAGTTCTATTAATTTAGAATCTAAACAACCCATGTCTAGAAAAATGAGAACTCCAAGGCCAGAACTAGAGGATAAACAAATTATTTTCAAATTCAACATGCCACAAGGACAACCGCTTTTAGCCATTTAAAGACTATGACCCTTATATCAAAATTTCACTAGTACAACAACATTATCCTCAATTTACAGGGAAGAAAAGTATGCATTACCTGTGTGTCGTTTTTAACACTCATCATCAGAATAGAAAGATGCCCAGTGCTGGATTCCTCTTCCTCATTCTTGACCTGTCACAGACAGTTTCAAACAAATTTTATATCATAAAAGGAGCATGGAGGCAGAAACTACAGCAAATAAAAAATGTAAACAATAAATTAAAAACTCTATTTAGCAGGAAGATGAAAAATGATGGGTAGGTCAAATTACACACACACATATATATATAGCCCTCCACATGCAAAAATATATTGCAGTAATTAAAACAAAATGCTTCCTGCAAATAAAAAATTTAATCAGAAAACACATTCAATACACACTTCACAATAAAACATACATTGACACCCCATCCCCCCGTTTCATTATTTTCTATAAACAAATCAAGTATTATTTAGTCAATAATTCATCAAATCAAAGGCAATATAAACCATATACTTTGGCAAAATCATGCTGCAGGCCTAGTTAAAATTGACCTTCAATTCAAACCTAGTTGAGCAAACTATTGTCTTAATCCAGCTTAACTTAAATTCTTTAGATTCTAAATTCTCTCTCCACAATTCTAGATTAAAGTTTACTCCTCTTATGTCATCAACTAAAACTATACTGCCTACAAATAATACGATATCCTCTTGAATGTTCCTAATGGATTCGTTTATAACTAATGCAAAAAGAGATAAGGACCTAGATTAAAGTTTACTCCTCTTATGTCATCAACTAAAACTATACTGCCTACAAATAATACGATATCCTCTTGAATGTTCCTAATGGATTCGTTTATAACTAATGCAAAAAGAGATAAGGACCTAGATTAAAGTTTACTCCTCTTATGTCATCAACTAAAACTATACTGCCTACAAATAATACGATATCCTCTTGAATGTTCCTAATGGATTCGTTTATAACTAATGCAAAAAGAGATAAGGACCTAGATTAAAGTTTACTCCTCTTATGTCATCAACTAAAACTATACTGCCTACAAATAATACGATATCCTCTTGAATGTTCCTAATGGATTCGTTTATAACTAATGCAAAAAGAGATAAGGACCTAGATTAAAGTTTACTCCTCTTATGTCATCAACTAAAACTATACTGCCTACAAATAATACGATATCCTCTTGAATGTTCCTAATGGATTCGTTTATAACTAATGCAAAAAGAGATAAGGACCTAGATTAAAGTTTACTCCTCTTATGTCATCAACTAAAACTATACTGCCTACAAATAATACGATATCCTCTTGAATGTTCCTAATGGATTCGTTTATAACTAATGCAAAAAGAGATAAGGACCTAGATTAAAGTTTACTCCTCTTATGTCATCAACTAAAACTATACTGCCTACAAATAATACGATATCCTCTTGAATGTTCCTAATGGATTCGTTTATAACTAATGCAAAAAGAGATAAGGACCTAGATTAAAGTTTACTCCTCTTATGTCATCAACTAAAACTATACTGCCTACAAATAATACGATATCCTCTTGAATGTTCCTAATGGATTCGTTTATAACTAATGCAAAAAGAGATAAGGACCTAGATTAAAGTTTACTCCTCTTATGTCATCAACTAAAACTATACTGCCTACAAATAATACGATATCCTCTTGAATGTTCCTAATGGATTCGTTTATAACTAATGCAAAAAGAGATAAGGACCTAGATTAAAGTTTACTCCTCTTATGTCATCAACTAAAACTATACTGCCTACAAATAATACGATATCCTCTTGAATGTTCCTAATGGATTCGTTTATAACTAATGCAAAAAGAGATAAGGACCTAGATTAAAGTTTACTCCTCTTATGTCATCAACTAAAACTATACTGCCTACAAATAATACGATATCCTCTTGAATGTTCCTAATGGATTCGTTTATAACTAATGCAAAAAGAGATAAGGACCTAGATTAAAGTTTACTCCTCTTATGTCATCAACTAAAACTATACTGCCTACAAATAATACGATATCCTCTTGAATGTTCCTAATGGATTCGTTTATAACTAATGCAAAAAGAGATAAGGACCTAGATTAAAGTTTACTCCTCTTATGTCATCAACTAAAACTATACTGCCTACAAATAATACGATATCCTCTTGAATGTTCCTAATGGATTCGTTTATAACTAATGCAAAAAGAGATAAGGACCTAGATTAAAGTTTACTCCTCTTATGTCATCAACTAAAACTATACTGCCTACAAATAATACGATATCCTCTTGAATGTTCCTAATGGATTCGTTTATAACTAATGCAAAAAGAGATAAGGACCTAGATTAAAGTTTACTCCTCTTATGTCATCAACTAAAACTATACTGCCTACAAATAATACGATATCCTCTTGAATGTTCCTAATGGATTCGTTTATAACTAATGCAAAAAGAGATAAGGACCTAGATTAAAGTTTACTCCTCTTATGTCATCAACTAAAACTATACTGCCTACAAATAATACGATATCCTCTTGAATGTTCCTAATGGATTCGTTTATAACTAATGCAAAAAGAGATAAGGACCTAGATTAAAGTTTACTCCTCTTATGTCATCAACTAAAACTATACTGCCTACAAATAATACGATATCCTCTTGAATGTTCCTAATGGATTCGTTTATAACTAATGCAAAAAGAGATAAGGACCTAGATTAAAGTTTACTCCTCTTATGTCATCAACTAAAACTATACTGCCTACAAATAATACGATATCCTCTTGAATGTTCCTAATGGATTCGTTTATAACTAATGCAAAAAGAGATAAGGACCTAGATTAAAGTTTACTCCTCTTATGTCATCAACTAAAACTATACTGCCTACAAATAATACGATATCCTCTTGAATGTTCCTAATGGATTCGTTTATAACTAATGCAAAAAGAGATAAGGACCTAGATTAAAGTTTACTCCTCTTATGTCATCAACTAAAACTATACTGCCTACAAATAATACGATATCCTCTTGAATGTTCCTAATGGATTCGTTTATAACTAATGCAAAAAGAGATAAGGACCTAGATTAAAGTTTACTCCTCTTATGTCATCAACTAAAACTATACTGCCTACAAATAATACGATATCCTCTTGAATGTTCCTAATGGATTCGTTTATAACTAATGCAAAAAGAGATAAGGACCTAGATTAAAGTTTACTCCTCTTATGTCATCAACTAAAACTATACTGCCTACAAATAATACGATATCCTCTTGAATGTTCCTAATGGATTCGTTTATAACTAATGCAAAAAGAGATAAGGACCTAGATTAAAGTTTACTCCTCTTATGTCATCAACTAAAACTATACTGCCTACAAATAATACGATATCCTCTTGAATGTTCCTAATGGATTCGTTTATAACTAATGCAAAAAGAGATAAGGACCTAGATTAAAGTTTACTCCTCTTATGTCATCAACTAAAACTATACTGCCTACAAATAATACGATATCCTCTTGAATGTTCCTAATGGATTCGTTTATAACTAATGCAAAAAGAGATAAGGACCTAGATTAAAGTTTACTCCTCTTATGTCATCAACTAAAACTATACTGCCTACAAATAATACGATATCCTCTTGAATGTTCCTAATGGATTCGTTTATAACTAATGCAAAAAGAGATAAGGACCTAGATTAAAGTTTACTCCTCTTATGTCATCAACTAAAACTATACTGCCTACAAATAATACGATATCCTCTTGAATGTTCCTAATGGATTCGTTTATAACTAATGCAAAAAGAGATAAGGACCTAGATTAAAGTTTACTCCTCTTATGTCATCAACTAAAACTATACTGCCTACAAATAATACGATATCCTCTTGAATGTTCCTAATGGATTCGTTTATAACTAATGCAAAAAGAGATAAGGACCTAGATTAAAGTTTACTCCTCTTATGTCATCAACTAAAACTATACTGCCTACAAATAATACGATATCCTCTTGAATGTTCCTAATGGATTCGTTTATAACTAATGCAAAAAGAGATAAGGACCTAGATTAAAGTTTACTCCTCTTATGTCATCAACTAAAACTATACTGCCTACAAATAATACGATATCCTCTTGAATGTTCCAGAGACAGAGACAGACAGACAGACAAACAGAGAAGAGTGATGAGTTAGAGAGAGAGAGAGAGAGAGAGTGAGTGAATATATGTCGTTTGTGAGAGAGAGAGAGAGGGCCACAGCAGCGGCGGTAAGGGAGGAGGATCGACCG